CCCCCAAACGCCACCGCGGTGCAACCCCAGCGGCCTGGGGACCCCCAGAACCCCCCCCCTTGGACCCCAGAGAAACCCCCGTGGACCCCCCAGCAAGAGGGGGGCAACGGGACCCCCACCCCGTGCAGCCACATCTCGCCCCTCCCGGCCCCCAGAGAGGGTTCCTCGGCCCCCCCAGACTCCCCCCCCGCAGTCTGCCCTGACTCACGCGGTCCCAGCCGGCCGTGGGGGCGGTGGGATCCCGACTGGACACTGATCCACACTTTCCACCCATCCAGAGCCGATCCAGACACCTGGGGGAAGGGGGGCGGTCTGCGGGGGTTTGGGGGGGTCCCTGATTCACGTACGGTCAGACATCCCCCACCCCCACCCCCTCGGCACCCTGCCAGCATCCCAGCACGGGGGAGAGGAATCCCAGGGATGGGAATGGGGGTCCTGGACTGGTCCGAGCTTGGCTGGAGAAATCCCAGACACCCCCCAGCCCCATAATTCCCCTCCCAGCACCGTGCCCTGCTTTAACACCGGGGCATAATCAAACCCTGGGTGACAAGTAGATAATTAACAAATAATTAGGGGGTCTCATCCAGCCCTGGGGTTGCAGGATGAGTGTCGGGCAAAAGAGACCCCCCCAAAAGCCTGACATAGAGAGGGGAGAGAGTGTTTGGGGGTGCAGGGGGGGGTGGGGGGTCCCGGCCCCCCAAATGAGCCCCCGAGGGTGAATCCGTCCCCCCCCCGTGTCACCAGGACCCCTCACGCGGAGGTGGGAGGGGTGAAAATGGGGGGGTTTGGGCTGGGGAGGGGGGCACTGAGCCCCTTCCTGGCTCTGGGGCGGCTGCAGCCAGACAGGGCAGGGCCGGATCCCGCTCTGGAGCCGCTGATTTACGAGTCTGGGCTGGGTGGCTCCGGCGGCTCCTGGCCCCGGCCCCGGGCTCTGCCTCCACCCAGGGACAGACAGACACCGGGGACCAGGAAATGGGGGGGGCATCGCCCTCCAACCCCCCCGGGACCTCCCCCCGGCAGCTCTGCCCCTCCCGAGATCCACGACCTGTGGAAATTTGGGCTGTGCTGCACGTGGGGAAACTGAGGCGCGGAGCTGCCCCCTCATCCCCCCCCCATCCCCCAGTGATGCTCGGGGGGGGGGCGGGTTCCGGAGCGGGAAGTGTCACCCCGTGACGTCACGGCCGTGGCCCCATCGCGTCACGGGTGTCCCCGTGGTGGGGAGGGAACGTCGTGGGATCCCCCCGCGGTGGGAGATTCGGAGCCCCCCCGTGTCCCTGCGGCCCTGGGGGGGTCCCTGGGATGGGCGGGGACACCCGGGGTCGTGCAGTGCTGAGGGGGGACCCCCCCGCGCCTTCGTCCCCCCTCCCGGTGCCACCCGGGCTCTGCCAACCGCGGTGGCACCGCCGGGACCCGCGGCCGTCCCTGGGCCACCCGGTGCCGTCGGGTGCCGGGGGCTCCGAGGGCAGGGAGTTAATTAGAGCGGCGGGGATTTAATTAGAGCCGCAGCCGGGCTAAAAATAGCCCGGCGGAGGCGGGCGGGTTATTTTTAGCCGCTCCCAGCCCGGTGCCACCCGGCCGGTGTCGCTCCGCGTTGGCACAAGCTCTGGTGGCACCGCCGCCCTGTGCCAGCTCCGGCGCTCGGAAGCGCGTTCCCGGGAGAGGAGCCGCTCCCGGTGCGTCCTGGAGGTTTAATTTGGGGGGAGTTTGGGCAGAGACTCCTTCCTTGTCCCCCGCTGGTTGTGGGACACTGGCCCGGGGCCTCCGTCCCGCTGTTTGTCCCCCTGCCCAGCCCGTTGTTTGTCCCTCCCCCTGTCACCTGTCCCAGTGTCCATCCCGCTGCCCATCCCGCCCTTCCCAGCCGGCGTTTCTGTCAGACACCGACCCATCCCAGCTATTCCCGGCACGCGGCTCCAGCCCGGCCGGGGCAGCGGCAGCAGCAGCAGCAGCACATTCCTGCAGGACTCGCTCCAAGCCTCTCCCGGAGCCCCGGCCTGGATCCCGCTGCCTTCCAGGAAAGCGGCTCCCTGGGAGCACGTTGGGGCTGGGCAGGTCCGGTCCCGGAACCTGGAGCTGGTGGGAAGTGGAGCAGAAGCCGGGGCAGGCCGAGAGCCTCTTTTCTCCGAAAAGGGAAGGAACAGTGGGAAGGAACGCTGCTCCGGGTTTCGTTTTCCTGTGGCTCCATGGCCTGGGAAGGCTCCGGTGCCTTCCGGGAAGCGGGAGATGCCCAATGGCTCCTGTGCTGCTTGGGATGGGCAGGAGCCACCAGGGGTGGGGGGAGCAGCTCCCAAGGGGGGAAGAAGGGGATCCCTGAGGGGCTGCGATCCCTGAGGGGCTGCAATTCCTGGTGGTCCGTGATCCCTGAGGGTCCACGTAAGGAACTGGCATATCCCTGATCCCAGCTGAGCACCCAGGGATGGGGAGGGGAGCACCAGGGCGGTGGGAGAAGGGGATCCCCGAGGGGTTTCAGTCCTTGAGGGGCTGCGATCCCAGAGGGCCCCCGATCCCCGAGGATCCGGAATTCCCAATCCCACCCGATTCCACCCCCCCCCCGTGCCGGGCGCAGGACAGGCCGGAGAGGAAATCTGGCAAAATGCAAAGTGAGCCTTTTTATTGTGTTATCCATTCACTTCGGAACAACAATTCCACAGAATATTAAACACTGTGCGAGAAGTCGGGCTATGGCACACGAGAAAGAAAAAAACAAACCCGGGAACTGCAGACGGATGAGGAGCCTACGGCACAGACAGCGACCACTTCCTAAGGACAGTCTGTACAAACCTGGATTGGCGTTTGGCAACGAGACCAGAGTTTGGCAAATAATAATAATAATTATAATAATAATAATAATAATAATAATTATAAGGATAGACCCGAGAGAAGGAAAGGAGGAGCGCGGAGGGTCCCAGGAGGGCTCCACACGACGGATAAATGAGTTATTGGGGATTTGTTAAATAAAGGCGACTTTTTAAGCACTTGGAAACAAAGGGGGATTTGGGAGCATCCAGAGGCTCCGGACCACACCAGGCTCGGGGTGCCCGGGAGTCTCCCGGCTCCGTCCCCCGGGACAGGGAGGGCAGGACAAAGAGAAGGGAGGAAAAATTAAATAGAAGCAATGTTTCCCTCTCCCTTTTCTTTCCCAGTTTTCTATTTTTGGCACCGGCTTTCACCACATGCCATAAAGAAAGGCTGGACAGATCTGGGCATGTGGTTACCTCCAAAAAAAGGCCTTTGTGGAGCCCGGGGCTCCGGCTCCTCCCGCTCTCCCCTCGCCCTTTGCAGCACTTAAAAAGTCCTGAAAAGTCTTTTTTTTTGTGTGTGTGTGTGTGTGTGGTTTGTTTTTTTTTTTTTTTCTTCCTTTTTCCCTTTTT